CTTGTGTTTGAGAGAATATTAAAACATCATCGGCATAGATGCAGTGTTTGACAGCTCCACTAGAGCTTATAATTGTACTTATTTCATTGAACGCAATGGTAAATAACGCAACAGAAAGGGGTGATCCCTGTGGTATACCATTAGACAGATCGTGTAGGCCGGATTTATGCATATTGGCAATAACAAAAAATTTTCGGTGGTTCAAAAACGATTTTATTATATTATATAGTTTTTCGCCAAAATTCCATTTTTTAAGTTCCCTGAGTACCATGTGAGGTCCAATAATGTCAAATGCTTTTTCAAAGTCTAAACTTAGCACAGAAACGTGATTTCGGTTTGACAAAGCCGTAGAGGCATAGTGTTCGAAAAATAACAGAGCGTCAGTTACTCCTAAACCTTTTTGGAAGCCAAATTGTTGGGGTTTTATAAAAGCGTTTGCTTTGGCAAACCACATAACTCTTCCAGATATTATCTTCTCCAGAATTTTGGACATGCAAGCAAGTAAGGATATGGGTCTATAATTTTCTATTTGAGAGGTAGGTTTATTGGGCTTGGGGATGGGAAGGATGGAAGCTCTCTTCCACTCCTGTGGATAGATTTCCTCGTTGAGGATTTTATTGTAAAGAGAAATTATTCGTATTTTAAGGGATCGAGGGAGATTTTCAAGGATGGGATAGCAAATTTTGTCCAATCCTGGAGTTTTACCAGTCATCGATGCAATTGTTACATCGAATTCAATTAATGTGATGGGAGCATCTGCTTGGACGGCTCTGGGTGAGGGAAATGGCTTATTGTAGTTTCCAGAGATTGTTTGGCTTTTTAAGGAATTGAAATCATTGTGAAAATTATGACTGTTGGAATTATCTGACCATGTGTCCGCAAACTTCTGAGCAATGTCTTGAGGGTTATAAATAGGACCTAGGGCTGAATGTATAAATGGTATGCTGGATCGTTGTGAGGAGCTTGTAAGAGTTTTTCTGAACAAATTTTTTTTGAGCTCGAAAATGGGTTGATATTGGCGGTGAGTGTTTCTAAAGCTTTTCTTTTGGCAGATTTTAATTATTTTCTAAACACCGCGTTCGTTTTTTTTATAGCTTATGAAATCATTGTCAGTTCTGGAATGTTTGTATTTGGACCATAATGTTTATTTATTGTTCCTTAAAATTGTTAGGAGATTTGACCAATATGGCAATTTAGCATAGAAATGCTTGGTACTGGACTGRGCTATCGCATAGTGTGCTGCTGATCGGATGATTGTTTTAATAGCGGCAGCTTCAGCGTTCATGTTTTTTACCAGAGGTTTGTTGTCCGAAAATAAAACAGAAAGACGATGAAAGTTTGCCCAATCTGCCTTCTCCGTTAAAAACTTTGATGTGGGTCTTACTTTATACCAATTAGGGATGTAAATGGAGGTTATAATCGGAAAATGGTGACTATTATGGATGTCTTGAAGTGTGTTGGAGGAAAGTTTGGGTGCAATTGGTGTGAAAGCAAGGGTGATGTCGGGATGAGTAAACGTTTTATGAGTGGAGAAGTGAGTGGGTGATCCATCGTTAAGGAGGACTAGGTTGTGAGAAAGTATTATATCCTCAATGATTTTTCCTCTTTTATTACTAGCAGAAGAACCCCACAGCGGGCTCCAAGCATTAAAATCGCCTAACAAAACAATTGAAGCAGAAACAATGTTGATGATATTACTAAGGTCCCTATTAGTAAAGTTCTGATGAGGCGGGATGTAGAAATTCACAATAGTGATTTTGAAGCCTATGTCAATTCCCAACGCCAAGCAGGAAATGCCAGAAGTGACCGGGATGAGTTTATGGTTGATGGAGTTTTTAACGAGAATTGCAATGCCTTGCTTACAGGAAGTGTTTTGACTGCTATTAGAAMAGTAACTTGTGTAGTTTTTAGGAGAATACGCTATCTTATTAGCGGAGAGAATCGTCTCTTCTAAAGCAACGATTTCAGGAGAAAATTGATTAATTAAAATATTTAAATCAGGGTAATTATTAAGTAAGCCATTTGTATTCCACTGTAAAATTTGCATTGTTTATTCTATCGTTTAATTATCTGTTGTCAGAGAGGGGAATATTGTAAGTTGAGGTGAGTATGTTGTTGGTGTTGTTAGTAGAGTCCCTGAAAGGTGAGCAAGCAATGATGAGATCATTGCGTGGGTTTGAGAGTCATCGACCGATCCTGTTGTTTTTGTATTTGTTATATTCTGTGGTATAATTGTTTTCGTTTATTTCTTTTTCTTGTGTTTCGTTATTCATATTGTTGGTAGGTTTGTTGTTTGTTATTGAAGGAGTATTTTCTGYAGAAGAGATTTGTGAGAGTTTGTTATTTTCATTTAAGTTGTTGGTCGTATTTTTTGCTATACTAGCGAATGTAGCAGAGTTTTCATTGAGTGTAGGAGTAAATTGGGTTTTTTATATTTTTATCGCTTCTCGCATGGAGCACTTTTTGTCTGTTTTTATGGTTATTATTTGTTACATTTGTATAAATTTGAGACATATTTTGTCAGAAGATGAGTGGTTACCTGAACAGTTTATGCAAAATTAACGAGTACAAAGGGATGGTTGGTGAGGGGGGAGAGCGCACTTGTCGTAAACAGCGGCTTTAGTACATCCCTTTGTTGTATGTCTTAAAAGTTGGCAGTTTTTGCACTTCATAGGGTTTGGATAGTATGGCTTTACCTTAGTTGTGTACCATGACTCTTCACTTTTTTCAGGTAGGTGATATTTATCAAATTTCAGGAGAACGACTCCCCTAGGTATTGGTTTTTGACTAATGTATTTAGGGAATTTTAAAATTGACACAACTTCCTGTGCTTTTAAGAGTTCAATGATTTCGTCGTCTGAGATTTCATTGAGGCATGGTGCGTAAATTGTCCCTTTTGTGTAGTTAAGGTTATTGTGGAGTTTATTTCTACATCAAATATGACATATAAAGTTTTCGTAGATATGAATTTTTGAGCTATGTTCTTGTTTTTTACTAGTAATAAAAGTTTTTCGTCTCTTAGTTCTGATATATTTATTATTTCTGTGCTTATATTTTTTAACGCTTTGTGCACAGCAAGACACGAATATTTTTTTATGGGTTTCTGAGAGTTCGTGGCACTTAGCACTAAATATCTTGGGTTATCTTTTGTTGTTGGGGTAAGGCTTGGGAAATCGTTATTGGGAAATGCTTGAATTTTTTTTCTTTTCGATTTGGGACTTGTTGATAACAGGGGAACCTGTTATAACCAAGGCAGTGACCCCGTGGAGGCATGTTTCGTTGTTCACTGTACTATAATATATACACTCTTCTACACGTGCTTTAAATAAAAGTTCTTGATGTTAGAATGCACTTACGAAAAGGGTGTGAGAGAACAGAAAAAAAACACCAATAGCACAAAACACAACCGTTCGCTTTGGGTATCAGTCGATGACTGAGTAAAATATAATAAAAATAAATTTACTTAGTTTCATTACAGAGGCATAGATCGATGTCTAGACCATTTTTATTCAAATTCACCTCTAAACCACAAAAATTCTTAAGACTATTTGACAATTTCTCCAAATATTAAGTAACATAAATGGTTTAAAGTCAGAGGGAAAGACGGAAATCGATATATGTAGAATATTGGGACTAGAGCAAGATTTGGACTTATCTTTTGGTATAGTTCAAGCATTTTGTGGAACATGTTTTCACACAATTTTATGGAGATACTTCGCACGCAGTTCGACATATGCGGTATACAATAATGATAACGTTATACAATATACAATATACAAGATACAAGTATAGTAATATTTGAGATCTGTGGAAATTCATGGACCGGGTTCACACATTTTCGGCAATAAATCATAGTATAGTATATTCAAATATTGTAGGATCACTTAATTTTGCTAGATATCTTAATCATTGAGTAATATATACGATATAAACTCCAACAAAACCTTGAAAGTCCTTTTATTAGATATATAGGGATATTAGAAGCATAGACCCGTTTTTATCCATCTTTATTTTTAGTTGAAAGATTATTCGTTTTTTTATACTCTCGCAACAAAGTTGCTAAAGAGAGTATTATGGTTTTGTCCACATAACGGTTGT